GTGTGTGTGTGTGTGTGTGTGTGTGTGTGTGTGTGTGTGTGTGTGTGTGTGTGTGTGTGTGTGTGTGTGTGTGTGTGTGTGTGTGTGTGTGTGTGTGTGTGAGTGTGTGTGTATGTGTGTGTGTGTGAGTGTGTGTGTGTGTGTTTATATGTCCAAAAATCAGAGCTAGAAGTCAGCTGTCTTCCTTCATAGATCTGTGGGCATCCAGACGCTGTGATGATTGGGAAAACTTCCTTCTCTTGTCTTCCCAGGTTTGGGGAGCAGGGAGCGTGAGGGCACAGATGACACCAATACGCTTGTTGGCTCTGGTTATCTTTTTAAGATGAACGCATTTGTTGTTTTGGGGGGTTAGGCTTAGGATACAGGAACATTTTATTTTGATTTCCGTGTTTGCTGTAAAATTTTGAGCTGCCCAGAAATTTTTTCATTGTCCCTTGCAGCATGAATTTCCAGAATTTGTTTCAATCTGAATATGACCTTAGCTGATGTATGGATCCCGTCAACAGATAGCTATAGACTTTCTTTTTTACGTTTTTTTACCTGTCAAAATTTTATCGTACATTAATTATGTGTATTTTTATAACTGTATTCTTTGAGGGTATGTGACATGCAATACTCTTTGCAGTAATCTGGGAGAAATTTACATTAAAACTGAGTCCCACTCATCCTAATGCCTTCCTGTATGTTTCCCTTTATTCTTGTCCCACAACTAAAGTCCTAGAGTTCAAGCCCTCCTTTTTCTAAACCAAGAGAATTATTCATAACATAGTTTGAAAAATCATTATTGTGTTGGTATTTTTTAATCTCTTGAATAATCTTGATTTAAGGGAAACTTTGAAATAATCCTTTCAGCAGGCACTTGTGTTAGACCTGAGGAATCTGACCCTTTTAGAAAATGGTTATGTCAGGAATTCCTCTGTTGAACAGCTCCAAGCCAAATGAGGATGTGCATATGTTAGTGCTCTTCCAATACAAGAGCCATGGGATCTCTTGCTAGGTAATTTGTCTTTTTATTTCTCAAAGATTAAATTTCATCCAGGCTTATTCAGAACAAGATCATTATTTATATTAGAAAAGTTTTATGAAACAAATTTAAGAATGGGAAATTTTGGAGCAATTACATTCCAAAATATATCTGCAAATTTAGCTAACTTTGGGCTTTTTACTGTATAACAATTATGTCGTTGTTTTGACCCTATAAGAGTCTTAAATACACTAAGTCATTTTTGGATTTTTTCACCTGCAGTTGATTCTCAACTTATTAATGCCCCGTGTTAAAGGGAAATGAAATTGTAGTTCCGGGAAGGTTTCTTGGAGTTTTCTGGCCACTGGAGTATTTCTTACAGGTAGACAGAGGATGAATGCTTTATAGCTTCATTTAGCCAAGCGTCATTTTAATTTAGGACTGTTCCCTGGGCATCTTTAAACAAGGGTAATGTAGCAGTGCTTCCATAGGGAACTATTTCGAGGCAAGTTTGTTAGTTTGTACATTATATAAATGTCGTGAACTTCACTTGATTGCATCTGATTGTGTTTTAGCAAATCCAGGAAATGAACATGTATTTAAATCATTATTGCAAATTACAATAAAATTGTAAAGAATATTACTAGAGTACAACTTGTTGCACAGCAGGAGTCACTGGAACTCTTGCTTAGCAACCTCAGCAAGAATGAGTTAAATTAACAATAAATAGCTGCAGGCACAGCCCGAGAAACCGCAGCACTACACCTATGTTAGATACTAAAGAAGGCTTCCCCACAATCCATATGCATCTGCTTTGACTGGTGGTTTCTATCAACCTACAAAGACTGTGACTTATTGGTGAGGGCAGCTGGACAACTCTGAGAGCAACTTAGAGAAATCCACCCTGGGCACACTCTGTAGAGGAACTCCTCTGGAAATAGCACCCCAGATAAGTGCACAAAAGCAAGACACCCTCGTGGACCTACTTCCTCCCGCTTTCAACAGCCCGCTGCCTGAAGGTGAGGTCTCCTTCCTGTGTGTCTTAGAAGCCATGAGCTCACTCAGGTCATGAGAGCCCTGCAGCCAGAGCACCGCATCTGCAGGCTTTCCTGCCAGACTTGGCCAAAGTTACTTTTCTCATTAGGAGAGACGAGGTCAGAAGAGTGATAGAAGGTTGCCCTTCTAGTTACGTTACTTTAACTAGTGGCCTGGTTTAGGGATTATTTTCCCAAATGGGGCCATATTTGCTTAATTATTAAGTTTTTTTGTTTGTTGTTGTTTTAGTCTAGCTATACTTGATATTAAAGGAGATTTCCCCACGTTTGCATCTTCTGTATCTTGAAATTGCAACAGTGGACAGCTATGTTAATCATTGTAGATTGTCTTCCTTCTTTTAACATCTTGGATGAATTTAGGGAACACTAATGTGTTATGTGAAGATGGATGTTGAATGTCATTTTCTCTGCTGTTCTTAATTGGTAAAAAGTTCAAGTTGCCAAGAGTTCGGGTTTAGTAAGCTTATGGGCAATGTAGCTTTATTGTTTTCTTACTATAGATACTCCATAGATTCACTCAACCAAACATCTTAAATTCTTGCT